GCCGAACTATCGCCTCCTCTTCTAGTTTATTCATCTTTTTCGAATTTGGCTCGCAATCGGCTCGTAGAGGGATTCCAGCGTGTCGACTTTGAAGGGTTGATCGGGGAACGTTATAGATCTCTGCTGCGCGTTTCACGCTTTTTACGCGTCGGGAACTAATATCAGAGATAGCAAGTAATATATCAGCTTCAGTATAGGGCTTTTGTATATTGTGTTGTTGAGACATTACGCGCAATCGACGCGCTGGTGGGGCGCTCATGAAAAGGTGCCAGCTCGCTTGGGGTGCCAGCTCGCTTATGAAACACGTTAATCTTTATTAAATAAGATACTTATATAATAAAACCCCCTATTACCTAGGCTTCAGCAGATATAGAGCTTAGGTTAAGTCTACAGCCAGCTTCTGCCTCTGACTCTTGGATATATTTTACAAGATCTGCACTTCTTAGGTAATGCAAGCCAAACCTCTGTCTAACAATTACAAATTTCTGGTAAGCCCATGATCGGTAAACTGGGTCATTTACTTCTATAGTAGCTAGAAATAACGGTAACGGCCAGTTCTTACTTGGAGGAGTGTCGTCGTAGGCTAATGACAAAGTTCGGTAGATAGACTCAGCAATCTGGATAATAGCTACTGCGTGAGTGTTGGCAGTGTATAGAGGTGCATCAGGCTGAAAAGCTCTCGAAGAGTATATCTCTGCTGCGTGGTACATCGATGAAGCGGTAGAAAAGGGGAGGAACAGATTCTGTTCTAGTACAGTCGTCTTTGGAATGTCTTGGAGTTGCTGCAGTGACAAAGGTAACTATGTAAACTTGTTGTCCGGGCCTTTTCAAAGGGATAGTTACATACCTTTGCAACTCTCTGAAGAGATGTAGTAATGCATTCATATTTGTCGCTGGTGATCAACCCGAGCGAGTCAGAAATATTGGCAAAAATTGCGACGGACCGGTGGTGCGCTTCCTGAATGGAAGCCAGGGTTTGGTCGCGCAGTTTCAGAAATTCCGGGTATAGGTGCCCGTATTCCCTGGACAGGAGATTCTTGGATGCAAGGACAGCGCTGGATAGCCCTTCCTCGCCCCCAAGCGCTCTTATCACACCGCAAGACTTTCCGCCAAAGGCTCCAGCCCGCGCATCCAAGAAACAAAACCAGGAAGATATCTTTAAGAGGAACGGCGTTCTTTCGGTGATTCTTTCAGTCAGCAGGTAGGCCATCCAAGAAACAAGGTATCGAAGATTATCTGCCCAACTAAGGAGGAGATCGGTATAGGCAAGGAAGTAGAGAATTACAGCGAGCGCTTCAGCATTCTGGCATGATAGATATGTTGGTCTGTTGTCTAGCCGCGCATCAATACATCGATCAGCCGACGGATGTCGCTCTCCATATTCAGCAACAAGTTTCTCGAGCGAGCTTTGTAGTATTTAAGGCAAACGTCGCGGGAGTAGAGCCCTTCTTTCAGGTGCAGATGAGTGATGGTCCACGTGGACAGAGCTGAGACCACCGCAGGGTGTTTTGTTGCAAACCGATGGTGAATATATGTATAGTTGTTGAAATCCTTCAGTCCGGTTGTATATTGTCGAGAAACGCTATTATGGTAGTGATGAATGAGGATGTGGTCAGGCGGGTAAACCTCGCATGAGGATGGGTGCTGCGGATCGGGACCTTCGGTTGGAGCATCCACAGTCAGAATTGAGCTGAGAGCCAGGGAGGTTGTTTTGTAATTCTTGGGATCCTTTAGGCCCAGTAGAAGTCGTTTCCGGTTCAAACCCCTCGAGATTGCTCATCCAATCCTCATCATTAAGCATGTGTTCGCCAGGCCAAAGTAGACTGGGTGGCATTGCCATCTCGATCTCCTCAGAAGGCCAGTCGGATGATTGAAGTGGATCTAAAGCTGAGGCACAACTCCAATCAACCGACGAATTTTCATTGAGGCATGGAATCTGTAACGCCTGTCTTGGATTCTGAGTACCTGGCCATAATTGCAGGAGTCTCGTCTTGAATGTCGAAAGCCCTTCTTGGTCCATGATATGCGCACTTGAGGTGTAAACGTCGGCATCGATGACACCTTGGGCGTTGTCCATCGCAGGTGTGTCCTTTCTCAGTGCAGGTTGTGCAAGACATGCTTACTCTGACAGGCTTAATTATGTTTGTTAGAGATATTGGAAGTGCACTGTCTACGTGTTGCAATTGTTTCCACCGTTACCTAGTAATCGAACCAAGTGCCTTACTCAGCAGGCCCCAACTAGGCGCTGATAACTATATAGCATATAAGTAAATAAAACACAGATAAGTTTTAACGTAGTTACAATTTTTAATCAAATATGCTTAACATTATAATCAATCTTAATCGTAGGATACCCTCCTAGGATCTAACTAGAGATACATTACACAGAACAGACGCAAGCGCAACACGTAAGGGAAGTAACGCACACATAGTATAAATAATTCCTTAGCTAGGAACAGGACAGATAGGCAGAATTCAATCTTATTACCTACTAGTGATTGCTCGCTACTAGAGCCTACTCACACATAGTATCTACCCAAAATTATGATTCTAAACGAAGTGCACCGAACAGGCCCTTTGACTGAGATTAAGTTTAACTGTTACTGCAATCGCTAGATAGAGTATGAACTTGCATTCAAGTTTTACAATTGTTCCAAACCAAGAAAGACACAGCAGCCAAATATCAGCCCCACTTGTTAAAGCGAGAAGAAGTTCGAATGCGTATGGGAATATCAAATAGTGCTGTTTGACAGCTTTCTACGGAATGTTTGGTCTCTCCCTAGCTGCGTGTCTTGATTGCCGCCAGTACCTCGGCAAGGTGATTTCAGTCTGATACATCAGCCCTAGACTGATAGATCTTGTAGAAACGGCGACAGTTCAGGTTTAGGTACAATAACGCCAACTACTTACTACACCTGTTTCCTCTTGGATCTTTTCGAGCTGCTTATTTTTTCGCAGAACCCACCACCTCGCAATCAGGCACATAATTATAGTAGCTCCTCCGCCTGCTATGATGACACCTCCACCGGTCTGGTAGCGAGGCTCCTGGCTACGGAGAAAGAAGTATGGGGAGAACCAATGAGAGGTGGACGATATACTGTTGGCAATTGCGATTAGAGCGGCACGCTTCGTACGGGGGCCTGGTACGACGCTTGTCTCCCAGGGAACATGAATCTGTGACAAATTTAGATTAGTGACCTGGCATGACAAGCATCTAGGTGGCTAGGACAAGCTCCACTTACAATGAGAGCAATGAATGGACCAGTGACGAGCATGAAGAGACTGAAATATCGTGCGCCAGTGTTCAAAGTGCTGATCATGATCACACAGCCAGTTATAGAGACACACATAGCGCCGATGATGTGCCAACAGTGCTCTACATGCCTTCCAGAAGACCAAGAAACAAGCAGTGTCAAGCCATATGTGACAAAGTATGGAGGAGCCTGGATCAAGTAGGTCACTATTTTGCTGTATCCAAGAGTTTTGACGATCTACACTGAGTGTTAATCAAGCAGAATAGTATTTAGGGTTATTAAACTTACGGAGGGGAAAAAGTCTTTAAATGATTGAGAGAGAATAATGGTAAAATGCATAGCAGCAAAAATCCAGGTAAAAGGATCCTTAACAGCCTGCCAGAATCCTGTCATGGCGCCACCTTCGTCGTCTTCAGATTGTCCACCAGAACTGACGGTCATACGATACTGAGCCATTTCAGTCTCTTCTGGTGAAAAGTAGTGCGGTGAATTGGATGGGTAGTTTGGGAGACCCCAATATCCGAGGCCTGCGATCAAAATGCTAGCAATTCCCTCAAATAGAAAGAACCACTGCCACGATCGAAGCTTTGCTATCCCGTCCATATTTGTCAAAATGCCAGCAGCTAAGAGACCCGAGAATCTATTAGATATAATATTGCCAGCATGCCAGATCGCCATGCGAGAAGGACTCTCTGACTTAGTATACCACGAAGTTGTTACTAGGCAGACGCCTGGAAAGAACGGCCCTTCAGTAATCCCAACAAGGAAACGACAGAGCATAAAGCTCCAAGGGGATTTCATAGCTGGCATAGAAATCGTGACAGCAGACCAGGCCAGCATAATAGTTGGTAAAAATATCCGAGGTTTAGTCTTCGCAAGTATAATGTTGGCGGGAATCTGCGAGAGAATATAGCCAACGTAGAAGAGTGAGATGCCAGCTGACTACTGGACGTCTGTCATGCCAAGATCTTCTTGCAGCCCAGCGAGTCGAGCATTCGAAATGTTGATTCGGTCGAGATAACTAGTAAATTTTAGAATCATTATCCCATGTTGTTGGCATAGAAATCAAAATAGACCCAACATACCTCATCAAGAGCATCAGTGTAACGATGATGAGAAACTTGTAGTCTAGCTTTTTCAGAACAGATCGCTCCAGAGTATGTAGCTCCTCCTTCGAAGCATTGACAAGCAAGGGAAACTGCTGGAGCAACATTGATGATTCGTCGTTAACCAGTTCAGCCTTTCCATGGTTCGGCTCGCCGCTCGCAAATTCGTTCATTTCGCTCGAGTTCGCCTCTACGGACTTGGGAGAATTGCTCTCGGTCATTCTGAAGCGGGACGTAAAGCGTGATGCGATTATTGTTGCCCTGAAACTTGTAGTCCTGGGGCGCGTGGTGTGATAAACATCGGGGCCGATAGGATTGAGACGAGTTGAAGACAGGATATATATGTTGGGGCGTTATCGTGATGATTCAAAGCGCTCTTCCACCGTAGCGCTGCATATTCCCCGCAAAATATGTTCCCCAAACTATTTTCCCCAGCATCGCTGATATTGATGGCAAGCTAATAGGGAGTCGCGCTGGTTTCCATCATTCAGGACTTTTGAGCGATGCGCTAAGATGACTAGACAGCTCCACTTCGCCACCTAGCCACGTCTGGACGTGATACGACCACTCATATGGTTGATCACCGTTAGGCTTGGATCGCCAGGGCAAGCTTGCTAACTACTATGCCCAAAGTGGACGATTTCGCGACGCCCTTTCTGGCGAATTCAGCGATGCGCTGATCAGTGATGTAGGTAGGTAGTTTACGTGCACGCAATATACCCTAATTTCTTTTGGAGAACACACGATAACAAACATAAATGATGGCCTAACTCTTTGCGACACCCTCCGTCAAGTTCGAGCTCAACTCTTACTTTTCTCTACTTCAACGTCAATCTTATCAAATATCCGTTTTGGCATAACCAACAACCATCATGCCAGGGGTTACTTTCAAAGTTCATGCCGGAGCACTTCCGCGAGACGACTTGAAGCACCTTCATATGACGGGTTGTGTTCCGACGATCTGTTTTCAAGGCGACCAGCGCTTTTCCTACTCGCTGTACATTCCCGAATCAGCCTATCCTCCCACCCCACTACACCCCGAGAGAATCAAGATACCACTCGTTGTGGTGATTCACGGTGGCAAATCGGATCATATCCGGGCCCGAAATGCTTGGATTGAGTATGCAGACAAGCATGGCGTTGCGATCTTAGCACCATTGTTCCCCCTTGGTGTTGCGAGTCAATGGGACACCGATGCCTACAGGTTTCTAGGCGCAGCACCTCAGCGCACCTTGCTGTCGAACACGAACGGTGACCATGCACTTAAGAGACCTCAGGCAGAACGTCTCCTTTACGATAGACTCCTTCTTTCTATGATCGAGGAGGTCGGCATGCGCTGGTCCGGCCTCGACACTGAGAAGTTTTTCCTCGGCGGTTTCTCAGGCGGTGGCCAGTTCTCCCACCGCTTCCTTTATCTGCATCCAGAGCGGCTTCTCGGGGTATGCATTGGGGGTCCTGGCTTTATCACACTCATGGACTCATCTCTTGAGTGGCCCCTTGGAATTGGAGGAATGGACCGTATTTTTGATAAGAGTATCGACAAGAAGGCGATCAGTCAAGTCCCAGTGCTGGTCGCCTGTGGACTTGACGATGTCAGCAAGGACACTTTCATTGTGAGAGATCGTGTGCATGGTGCCATTGAAGGTTTAACCATGGGCAGCAAGGGCGCAGATCTACGAACAAACAATGCAAAGGATCTTGCCGAAAGCTTAGAATCAGCTGGATGTCAGGTCACTCTAGAATACATCCCTAACGTGGCACATGAAATGCCAAAAGTGCAACCAGCTATGGGGGCGTTCCTAGCACCCCTTATTGTTGAAAGACAGAATAAGCTTAATTATATAGAATAATAGCATGCTTGTTAAGAGTTGAATTTTAAAGTGAAAGACATTACCAGATTATAGGAGTTATGGCATATTGTACCAAAAGTAACTGAAATTTTTGTCTCTAACTTCGCAAGAGAATTCCATCGCCAAGCATAAATCCAGCATTATTGACTTATCGACACCTATGTCAGACTTGACTCCTGAGGATAGGGATGTGTTCCTGGACAACTCTTCATACTACTTGTTATGTTTTTGTATTATAAGTAGCCTTGTCTTCATACAGCCTGTCTATATAATCTTACTATTATAGGCTCTTCTCTAAGTTACCCCTTAGCTACTCAGAGCTGCTACTGCAAGGTTTATCTGTAACAAGAGCTCTCTAGAGAGTTGCAAATATAGAGATCTAAGCGTAGTTACTTGTTCTATTATCTCAATTACTTGGTGAAAGAGTTGCTGGTAAAAAGACTCTTTGAAAATAAGATAGTACAGAGTAGGCATGTATGTTACGATACCAGAACCTATGAGGGTAGAGAAGGCGTCAAGTACTTGGGACGGAAGTCGGAGATCGTGGCCAGAGGGCTCGATGACACCCAAGGACCAGTCACGTGATCGAGCACCACGTGAACAAAGTGATCAAGGTGATCAAGTCTTGGCAGAAGTTGAAAAGGCCAAGACCTTGAGCAGCTTGATCAAAGGACTAGGAAGGACGGATATATAAGATTGCCAGATTTCATATGTAGGAGTTCTTCGTAGTCAATAACAAATTGTATCTGATCTTTTGGAATTACCTTATCAGTACAACAGTAGCTTATCCCCCTGGATAAGTCAGAGTTATTACCCTGTCTTGATACTCGCTTTACCCTATACAAACCTCTGCGATATACCCCTCTTACCTTGTGTAGTAAGTTACCTATCGTTACAATGTAGTACTGCCAATAACCGGACCTTTAGGGACTGCCCATTTTGATCTACAATGAAAGGTAACATTGATATTCGAGCCATGGCCTCTGCAGAAGACCTCTATAGGATCTTCCTACAGCAGTATCATTATTGGATCACTTAGTGCAATACGCTACTGCGTCTGTGTTCTGGTCTCTCTGATTTATTCTATCTATGCATGCTTTACTTTTTCTATCAAGTAGTACAATGTAGTGCGATAATCTTAACATTGGGTACTCGCTAAGACAATCTGCCGGAACGAGCAAAGACTAGTTCATCAAACAGCTTCTACTCGACGAAAAATCATGCTTGATAGCATCTATCCTGACCAGTGTCCTACTCCTTTGAAATCAATGCACAGAAGAAGAGGCACAAGGGTGAAATGTTGAAAATAAGCCTATTTGACTCACTAACATCTCTCTATACATTGCGGGAACTAAAAGAACTACAAAACAATAATTGGAAAAGACATAGCTATTTCTCGTATTTGGGGTCCACATTCTACAGCATGCAGTTTCTTATCACTTCGTGCCAATAACAAAACCACCAACGCAACAGAATCTGGTCACATTCAGCTATTTTCTCATCTGAAAACATGTAATAGCTAGATAACCAAGATCGCCGTGTAATCCGAAAATGAAACCAATTTAGTACAGGTTCACGCAGATATCTCTCTCTAAGGTGTACAGTTTAGATAGTGAAACTAAAGTGATAAATCGTTTGACCTGATAGAAATCTTTGAAATTGACTGAGCTGAAACACAACGCTAGTGTTTCTTGGTGCAAAGATGGTCAATAGCGTTGTACTTTCTTCCAGCCGCCAGTGTACTTCGAGAATACTACCGAAGGCAGTGACGACCGTAGCATCGACTTCTTTCAGACCTGTTTGGAAAGAATCTTCCAATTCTGATAGCCGAACCCGTTAGCACCATCCGCCGCCTGTATGCCAGCCATCCACTCAGTCAGAATATAGGTTGGTGCTCCTCCCCAAGTATGGGAAAGGCTGGTAGAAAGCCCAAGTCCAGGCTTCCCATGTTGGTCGACACACTCTCATGACGCTTCTGTACCAGTACCTTTATTTGAGAGCATCGGTGTCCAGAGGCTTCTCATACGCTCCAGAGTCGTAAGTGCGATGACAGGAATATCTTGGGACGCCAAGGCCGGCAATAAGAAACCATTCGTGTTGGTAGAGATGATGGTATTGATATGATGAACGTATGTGAAAGTGTATTGTATTATGATTGGTAGTGACTACGGACAATCCCATGTAGAGTATGAATGACTAATCATGCACGGGCCTGCCAAGATCCTTCAGTCCTCCGTGGCAGCCTGCATTAGGCAACCAGAGTGAATGTACCGTATCTTGCGTTCAGAGTGAATGTAACGAAGTACTCAGGGGTAGATTCCCAACATCCTTTTCTGACAATCGAAGGTTGGAAGCGGCAGCGATTTGGTGCAGATGTCGGCTGGGTTGGATGCAGAGGGTGTGTGACTGATGTCAAACTTTCCATCCTGAAAGTACTCACGAGCGAAGTGGTAGTGAATGTTGATATGCTTCGTCCGTGTATTCACCTTTGCATCTCTTACCATAGACTCAGCAGCGTTGTTGTCCGTGACCAATTCAAAGACAAAGTGATCCTGTGTCAAGCCAAACATTTCTTCCACGGCATTCCGGACCCACATCAGATGGGCAGCAGCGCTGGAGCAAGCCATATACTCAGACTCTGCAGTACTTTTGGCAACGCAACTTTGTTTCTTCGAATTCCACGCAATCGTGCATCCATTGATCTGGCAAACTTGACCTGAATACGACTTCCCTGTATCTGGATCAGATCCCCAGCTTGCGTCTGAGAACATCTTGACAACAGAAGGCTTCGACAGCGGCTGTGGTTGTCGAGGATAGCGTAGGTAGGCGGACTTGGTTTTCTGAAGATATCGAAGCGACTGGTATGCGATCTTGGAGTAAATTGCGATGGATTTGAAGCGAATGTCCCAAGCATGGATGCGGTGTATGCCAGGTCCGGTCGTGAGCCCATTACAAGCCAATTGATAGAACCAACAATCTGTTGGTACTCATTTCGCAGGACTTCATCGACGGCGTGTTCGGATGAGCTTCGATTGGGATGTCAATTCACATCGAGAGGTGTCGAACGTCCATTGCAATTCTCCATTTGGAACTTTTGGAGAGTCTTCGCAATGAATCCTGGTTGTGAAATCGAAATTCCTGCATTATCGCAATGTATCAACAGTCCAAGGAGGCTAGAAACCTTTCCCAGATCTTTGCATCTGAAATGTTTGGTGACATATTGCTTGAAGTTCGCAATGTGTGTGTCGAGTCCAGTGACAGTGAGATCGTCGACATACACGCCAATGATAATGACAGACTGGTTGTTTTCTTTTCTGAAGAATATACATGGGTCGAAATGTGCTTGTGTGAAGCCGTTGTGAATCAAGGACTCCGAAAGCATTCCAAACCATTCTCTCCCGCTCTGGCGGAGTCCGTATATCGTTCGGCAAAGAAGGAGAAGTTCGTCATTGTCCAGTAGGTACCCATCGGGGGGTCTCATGTATATCGTCTCGCGAAGGGTAGAATTCAGATAGGCGGTATCGAAATCAATCTGATGTACTTGCCAGCCAAAGTGTGCAGCAAGGTAGAGCAGAAATCTCAGACTGTCATATCTGACAACGGGCGAATAAGTATGGGTGAAGTCAACGCCGGGGACTTGCGTGAATCCTTTGGCAACCAGGCGGGCTTTGTAGCGTGTCGCTTTGCCAGCGGCATCGTGTTTGATGTCGAATACCCATCGAGAATCAACAACATGAACCTTTTGACCAAAGATTCTTTTGACAATTTTCCAGGTGCCATGTCTCTCGTGCTGTTGCAGTTCGCGGAGAACAGCCTCCTTCCATTCAGACCAGTCTGGAAGAGCCATTGCTTCTCGAAGTGTGGTAGGGATAAGTACTCCTGCAGAGTACGCATGTTCATTCAGTACATCGAACATCGAGCTGTCATCGACGGCTACGCGAGCTTGCGAATGTTGTGACTCCTGTGCGCGGAGGGAAGGCTTCACAGTTCGACCAGAGCGAGTAGTAACGGGTGGTGGATTTGAGCGTTGAGAAGTACCTCTCCGTATACGAGGTGAAGTCGTTGGTGATGGATTCGCAATGCCATTGTTGCGACGGCGAGCGTTCGAGCTCGACGGTGACGAGGTCGGCAAGCTCCCGCTGACAGTGTTTGAGATTCGTTGCGCATTTGGGCGGTCGTTTCTCAATGGTTCAGACGGTCGCAGAGATGGGTCAAGTCTGTTGAGTAGGGATCCGCGCATGCCAGGATGTTCTTCCTGCGCTGGCGGATGAACGTTCTGCTGGGCTCGTGGCAAGGTGCCATGTTCAGCAGGATGTTCCTGTTGCGAAACGTTGCTCGCGGTAGGATGTTGTTGTTGCGAATTCGTGACAAGATGCGTCGGTTTTTCGCGTTGTGATGATGCTGTGGATGATTCACGGATGTTTCGTTGTGTACCGGCTTGGGAAAGTTCCATTTCATTGTCCTGAGAAGTACCTGGAATCCGAAATGGATGAAAGGTGACGTCTCGAGATTCAACAATGACGTTGCGAGATGGGACGAAGATCCTGTAGCGCTTGGTGGAATTTCCGTAACCAACCATGATGCCAGCTTCAGATCTGTGGAGCAGCTTCGAGCCAGGCTTGCGTGCTTCAATTGGAATGTGAAGATGCACCTGCGCTCCAAAGGGGCGAAGATCCTTGATAGTGGGCTTCTTTTTCAGCAATGTTTCAAATGGTGTGTTGAGAAGGGCGGAATGCGGTGCAATGTTTTTGAGGAACACAGCAGTTGCAATAGCTTCAGCCCATAATTTCAGGAGGTCATCGGATGGTATCATGCACCTTGCGGCGGTGATGATTGTCCGCATGTACCTTTCCGGCATGCCGTTAGACTCGTGGGCGTATGCCGGCGATGTATGGTGGATGATTCCCTGATGTTTGAAGAATGTTTGCAATTCATTCGCCATGTATTCTCCTCCTCGGTCAGAGCAGAAGGTGGCGATGTCGTGTCCGTATTGTCTTTTTACAAAGCTTACGAAATCTTGGACAGCTCCCGCTGTTTCCGACTTGGATTTCAGAAATCGGACCCAAACAAAGCGAGTGCATTCATCGACGAAGAGAATGAAGTACTTTGAGCCCGCAATTGAGGGGCAGGAGAACTTTCCAGAGAGGTCTGAATGTATTCTTTCGAAGGGCTTGTTTGCATTGCTCGATCTTGCGGGTGGACGGGAATGTGTGGACTTTGAAGATTGACAGCTTGAGCAAAAGAAGTCGGATGGTTTGGACGGGATGAGATGAGCGTCGTCATATAGACGGGCAGGGTTTTTGATTTGGAAGTGCCCAACAGACGAGTGGAACTCATGATATGAAGTGAAATGCGCGACGTGTGAATGCTCGGTCTGAATAGCAAAGACGCCGGATGTGAATGTCGCCCACAATTGATATGAGCCATCAGTGGAGACGAGATATAGATTGTCACCTTTTGCTTTAATTTCATTTCCGTCATTTCTGACGTGAGGCCACGAGAAGAGGCGGATGTCATTCAGTTGTTTACTGTACAAAACATTGGTCAGAGTGATTCGCTTTGTTGAGTTGTCAGGGAGAACGAGATTGAGTTCGACAGAACCGGTGCCATCGATGGAAAGTCGCTGTTGTCCGGCCACCGTGATAGTTCCCTTCGCCGGTTGGACGGAAGAGAAGTCATCGATGTGCCCAGACATATGACGCGAAGCTCCTGAATCGAAATACCAAGTACCGTTGTGACGAGCGCTCAAACCAAATGACTGTATAGTATCGAGAGTTGCACTTACTTCGCGTGATCATTTGCCATTTGCGTTAATGTTGGTGGATGAAGTCGCAGTGAAGGCAGTGACATTTTCAGTACCAGATGAATCGTCTTCATCATCTGAGATGACGGCCTGGTTCGCGTTCGCTCCGCGGCGTTTTTTCTTTGCCTGAGAGTCGCGAGACACATCCTTGGATGTACCTGAGCGGTCTTGCTGTGAATCGTTGCGCGTCTTCTTGAAATCTTTGAGACGGTTGCACTCTAGGTATAGATGGCCATTGAATGTGAAGCCGTGTTTCCGACACCATGTGCATTCACGGTCAGACGAGTCTTTCGCAGATTGGCGGTTATTCGCGGCGGGTTTCTTGCCGTATGATCGTGCCATGTAAGCGGAGGTGTCGTCAACATTGATGCTGTGCTTGTCTGCAATGTCGAGCATTTTGGGCTCAAGGTCAACAAATTTTGTCAGATTTTGCGTATTGAGGTTGTCGATGACGTGGTCCATCGTGTCCGGTAATGTCACCAGGAAGAAAGACCCTTTTACTTCATCGCTCTCAAAGATTGGTTTCATGGCGGTAGCCACATTGTGTGAAGACGTTATACATCGCTTCTGCATTTTGGTCCACAGGCCGTGGAAAACATCGAGATGATGACGAAGGTCCTCGCCGTCATTGTATCTCAGGTTCGTAATTTGACGAAAAAGGTTTATGGAAGTAGATCCTGTATCTCTGTCGAATCGGCTGGCGAGGTATTTCCAGGCATCTCCAGCGGTGGCGCTGGTGGATACGTGTATCATCAGGTCCGGGCTCATAACCTGATATGATGAACGTATGTGAAAGTGTATTGTATTATGATTGGTAGTGACTACGGACAATCCCATGTAGAGTATGAATGACTAATCATGCACGGGCCTGCCAAGATCCTTCAGGTATCAGGATGTGAACTGTTAAGGGCCGAAGAATCTTTGTACCCCAGGTGGAGTTTGAGTTGAGGAAGTGCTGAGAGGAAACGCGCAGACCTCTCTAGCGCTGCAGTACCTGACGTGATGCAGAACCCAATGCTGTTTACAGAAAAGTCGTTTTTGTTGGCTGGCGCTAGCTTGTATATCCCCAGATCTTCGTTCCAGAGCCTTTCATTTATGACCGAAGCCAACTTTTTTGCAAGAACGTTGTACTCATCAGCATCGCTGTCTTCCTGAAGCGACGCAGCAACGTCAGCCATCGTCCTCAACGCTTGCACAAGGGCACAGTTGGTGGCAGAACCACCGCCAGAAGGTCCTAAAAATGCGCCAATGAGGCTAAGCAGTCCTGTTGTAGCGTGTATATTGTCAATAGCCAAGCCGAGATTGTCTTTCTGGTGGGTCCAGGTGCTCTTCGCGAAATCAAGATCTCTGCTTCGACGGACAAAATCTATACAGGATAGAACGCCTAGGAACCTGGGATCCGCGAGCCGTTGATAGGGTAGTCACTCAACGAAACATTGAACACGACAGCGTCTCCGATGGCAACGGCGAGACTCTTCCCGTCGAACACAGTCCCAACTCGAAATCACTGGTTGTTCTCGACAGAAATAGGCTCGTGGAACGTGTCTAAATGCCACAATGTCAGAGGTGACGTTAACACCAAAGTACCCATTACCCAATACAATCGAGTTTAGAAGGAAAATAGTAGTGTCTGCGTTGGCATAAGGTTGCGCCTCAGCAACCAAGTAGAGTTGAATTCCTCTCGCAGGAGATGCTATTGGGAAAGCCTATGGTAGGAAGTTAGCCGTGATCTTACCGAGGCTGTTCGCTGCGGCGGAAGGAAATCTATTACCACTGTCCAACCTATACCGCCCTTGACAACCTTATTGTCGAATTCGAGCGTATAGTTTTCGATAAAGGCGCCCACACTAGTATCACCGGCCCTCATACCTCGAACATAGGCACCATCCTCTTCGTCAAGCTCCCACATTACCTTTTGGGTTTCCGCCTCATCGCATGCCGCAAAGGCAGGCCTAGCTTCCAGATTTCATTTAAGTTCTCGTCATTGGACAGAAATTTACCTGGTAAATTGTCAATGTCGACGACTGGAATGCTTGCAATTAAGCCGACCGCCGAAAACTTAATATCACTATTGGTGATAAGCCTAATGGACTGCCACTGCTGCCCTCCTTGAAGTAAGAATGCATCGATCCTACCATGCCGGGATATTTCAATTATTTCCAGCCGGTAAGTGTTGGCGAGGGGCAACAGCGTAAGGAAAAGGCCCGTCGGCAAAATCATGTTACAGGCTTAGAAATTCCTCCGAAGAAAATTCCTCCGAAACATTCCTCCGAAAATTTCACCTCAATCTGAACTAGTGCGGTCAAGGATTCAACCTCAACGAATGAATATCCAGCAGTCTCATATGTGTGTAGTCTAGTGTCATTAGAGGATATCACGAGTTTAGGTGAAACGGCGTAAAAGCTGCTCCGCACAACGAAGGGGCAGGGCCAATGGAAAGGCTAATGGGATGGAACGCAGGCTTTCTACAAAGATTCCGCGAATGTATAGCTTCAACAGATGTGAAAAGAGATGCCGTACGCCCCGGACGATTTTTGACCCAAGGCCAAGGCCAAGAGACACAGCAGAAATGCCCAGTGTGCACTGCATAAAGTTAAAAGTTCAGCCATGTCGCGTGAATGTAACTGAAAAGAATTATGAAGATGTGTAGAAGACTGATATCGACGCTCGGGTTTATTTAGCTCGACTCCGGGTCAATTCGTCAGATCATAACTTTGAAACCTCATGTTTATTTATACTGGCTTGGCAGATCAATTATCTACTTGCACAAAGACTTGATATACGGAGGAATGCAAACCAAAGAGGTTGACCTAGTTCATAGGAACCTGACATAGCAAATATTACTAGTACATCAACCTTACTAGGAATAGAAATGGGAAGGGTCTCATCAGAGCACGCTACGCACGTATACAATACGAGATAATGCGAGACAAAATAAGAGTAGCTTCAGGTTGTACCAAGGGTTGACACGTCTGAATGGACGCCTGCTGGTGTTTTCAGCATTTACAAGGAATAATACGTGCGTGTACAGGCTCGTATTTGCTATCAGACGCTGTAAATAATCTAATCAAGGCTAAAGTGTGCATGTATACTAGCAGGCGTCCGTTCAGATGTATCAACCCTCTGTACTTGTTGCGGAGAAGAATAACGGGGAAGATCTATTGCTACTTTTCAGGTGCATGGCTTCTTGCCCCCAATCATCTATTTTCTCAGTTCGCATACGCGAGTACTTGCAATGTACTCCAACTTCAACACAGGTCAAGCAGCTTAAATGCTGTAAATTGCTTACAGAGAAGCAGAATAATCTGTTGGTAAGATGGCTGAAGATCTCTTGGATTCGAATCGTACACTTGATTTTTTCCTATGTGAATGTTAGTAAATATTCTCGGGTGAGTACTGGAGGGGACGATTGTTTACCGTGATATATCGATCACAGACCTGGTTCAGAAGGGCCAAGCGGTTTTTGGGGGTCTTTCAGGTATTCATCTTAGGCATTGGCTTGGTTCCGCTTGCGATCTTGGCCGACAGTGTTATGGACATCATTCAAAAGGCACAATTATAGCGCCAGCCTTCGTCTACGTAGGTGTTTCAGTCGTCATTCACTTTAACGTTAAGGGCTTTGGTAGGGACTCTGCCAAGAGAGGCGTACGGCATTGTCAGGTGGCTGAGTTCGTTTTGAGAGACCTCCCTGTTTGGCTGACGAGTTTCTCTCATGGTAATGTAGTTGTTTAGCTACGAAAAAAATCAAGACAGATAACAGCATGCTCTGACGCATTGAAAATATGTACTTGCTGCAGTTAATAGAAAACATCAGACCTTGATCCACTAACACTGAATTGATCGATATCGCTCCTTTCTTGGCTCAATTAGGGTACGTAAGACCAACGATGGCGACAATTCAGATCTTGATTGCTTTGCTGCTGCAGCTGTTGTCACAGCCAAAGACTAACAAGGTGTGGGTTAATAGTAGTAGGCTCAAGGTTGAAACAGGCATAAATATATTTGCATTGCAAATACATAGTAAAACAAATAACTATTCAGCATGACCTTTACGTGAGAAGAGCAAGGCGAAAAGTTCTTCCCGCATATACTCCATAACACTTCATCCCAAATGCTACAGAGCCACGCGTCCTCTACAGTGAAGCACCGCAACACTGCCGTGACATATCTATCCATGCTTTGTGTCTCGTACCTATATGTGAACAATCATAAATGAAAGCTAATTTTACAACACTTTGACTTCGCCACCAAAGGGCTTGGAAATACTTAGCACTGAGATCTCTTCGCTATCGTTTCCTAACAGGGGATAGGTTCCACCATTAATTGTTTAGGATCAGAAGTTATATGCGATGCAGATAAGGGCTTAGCGTGCCAAACGTCCTTCATAGACATTTATATAACTTGATCGTGAACTAATGACACTAAACACTATATCAAATTTGAACCACTTTATTCTTATTATTTTTCATTGCTATCACGTTCAACGATGAAGCGTGCCATCGAGGTTTTCGGTGCGACGTTTGTACTAATCGTTTTCTTCGGTGCTACTATTGGCTTACTATATGCGCCATGCTATGCCTCTGTATGTCCAGAGGAATACCTGCCACGAGAGACGAAAATTCATCTTGGCACTTTTTACGTATCTCTTACCGTGCTTGCTTTCGGGCTCTCTCTTCAATCTTTCTCCAAGACTGGCGCTATCCTAAACATATATCGTACGCCCTTCAGGATTCCGCTCATTCAGAAAACAATCACGATAGGCGGGTTTTTGACGTCCGCTTGGATCCTTGGTACCACCCTTGCTACAACTGCCATTTGGAAACCCGCCTTTCTTAATTATTGGGGACGGAGGACCGATCCTCTGGATTGGACATCGGCAAAGATTCAGCTTACAGTTACTGCCGTTACCGGGCACTATGCTGACTTTCTCATCGGAATGCTAGTTATTCCTATCTCGAGAAACAGCCTGGTAGGTCGAGCTTTTGGGGTCCACCAGAGTACTTTGTTGTTCGCGCACAAAATCATATCGTATCTGTTCATACTTGCTGTTATAGCACATGGGACGAGCTATGCTGTGAGTTTTACAATTACAAGCAATAATTGTCGTTGATGCTAATTCTGGGGATAGTTGTATGCTACGTCTCCATCTACAGGAGACGAAAGACGAGATGAAGAGTTTGCTACCGGCAACCCAACAATGACTCGTACGGCAAGCAAATCACGGAGCTGGTGGTACACAACTACTACGTACAACGGTGCTGCTACCCTCACCGTAATGATCTTCATCCTTGCAACTTCTTTGCCATTTGTACGACGAAAACATTACAATTTGTTCTATTACTCCCACCTCCTCTGTGGAATCACCATCATTATCGGATCCTGTGTGCATGCAAGCACTGACTTCTATCTTATTTTCCCCGGATTATTCCTTTACGTTGTTGATTTGATCCAACGCTTTTTTTCGGGAGAAGCAGGTGGGCTACACAACAAACACGTCGCAGTTATAGAGAACGCTAGCGGCGACTGGTACAGAATTATCGTTCCCCCCTTCGAAAAAGTAAAAGCTAGCAGCAACGAGCTTATCCTCCCAGTAGAAACGGTTGTGCCAACGGGCTATCCGCTGAAGTGTTTCTACCTCAACTTCCCCGTCATCAGCAAAACACAAAACCATGCATTTACAGCGGCGAAGTCTAGTCCGCTTGGCACCGGCACTGTTTTCCTTTTTCAGCGTTCACGAGGAAAGGCTCAAAAAAGGCTCAACGATGAGTGGACTTGGAAGTTGGCGGCCTTGGTTCCTAAACCTAACGACAGGAAAGACGTGGAAGTGCGCCTTGAAGGTCCTTATTTGCCACGAGACCCGCTGTTTGAGACAGCATCTCATATCATCTGCATTGTAGGAGGAACGGGATTTACGGGCGCGTACAGTCTTGCTCTTTGGTGGTTGGAAATGAGAGCTACAGTCGACAATAGCTTTTTCACCCTTGTTTGGACCATTCGCAGTAGGGAGTCTGGTAACATTGAAGAATGGGTCAAACTCAACCAGGTTGCTACCTCGATTGCAGGCTTGTCGTTGGTGGCTCATATCAGTTCTGAGGCTGGAAGGCTAGATCCAGGCATGCATATTCGAAGGAGTCTTGGCCTTGAAGAAACTTTTGGCGCTGGTTGTTTCATTCCTGAAACAGGGAGCACAGCGTGGGTCTATGGTTCAGGGCCGGAAGGGCTAGTTCAAGCTACAGGAAAGGCCTGTGAAGAGGCCAGACGCGATATTCGAAAGAGCAAAGCATTTGGTAGCTCACTTGTAAGAGAATTGAGATGGTACATGGCCAAGTGGGAAGTCTAGATCGCCCCAACGATTGAAGCCTATTTCGACCAGGGTATTGTGGTGTAGCATGACAGATGAGCCTATTCGGGGATCACGTATATGGGGAAAGGCACTAGGCAGGGCATAGATAGATCGATCAGGGCTGCCAAGAGAGATCGAGGCATTATCTGCCTACCTCAGAGAAATATCTACTTATCCTACGTATCTACTAATTACAGGCTGTGCCTGTACTGCTCCCTACTATAGAGGTATCTATAAGTAATAATATTTATTAATACTCTTATATAAGTAATAATATCTATTAATACTCTTATATAAGTAATAATATCTATTAATACTCTTATATATCTAATTATTTAGGTTTGTTACGGATGAACCGAACAGTGACGATTCTGAGTGGCCGGAGGGCGACGAAGAATCCTACGAGGAGGACCTATGGGGACAGGAGGACGCGGACAGGCTCTATGCAGACGAGGCTGACCACAACATGGACACGTGATGAGATCACGTGACGGATTCGTGGATTCGTCTATCACGAATCCACGAACCCAACGAACCCACGAATCCAACGAATCCGCCAAGCATACTCATGTATATAAGCAGAATGTATTCCATAGATAGGTCCTCATCGTCAATCCACGATACAGTTCTCTGCATCCAGTTTCCTAACGGAAGATTACTTGTGACATCTTTGGCAACACATTTGCGCAACAGTGATTGATTGACGTTCAACCCTACCAGTATATTAATACTACGCCTACGGCCCTCATCACTCAACAGAACCCCTTCGAGGTCACGTGCCTGAGTACCTACTCAGACGACCCCGTTACGTAACTACTTAATTTTTTAATCTATTTAGTTCTTTAAAATACTAACTTATAATACTATAATAAACTTAACTCTTTTACTAGCTAGTTGTTACGATACCAGAACCTATGAGGATAGAGAAGACGTCAAGTACTTGGGATGAAAGTC